TCCAAGCCTCTGCCCCTCTCCGGGGCTCTCCAAGTCCCTCAGGCCCAGGCCGGGAGTGTGGGGCGCCTGGAGGGAATCGGACTGCGACGCCCAGAGGAGCGAGGCTTCTGGAAGCCCCCCTGAGCTGCGGGTGCTGTGATCCCCCAAGAGAGGCCTTGCTGGGGGTCGCGACTTCTCTGCAACAGCTCTGCCCAGAACGGGATTCACCTGCAAGGCATGGTGGTGCCCGCCTGGAGGCTGAGGCAGGAGGATTCCAAGTTCCAGCCCAGCCTGGGCAATTTAGAGGTTTAATGAGACCCTGCCTCAAAGTTTTAAAAAAGGGCTGGGGGTGCAGCTCCTTGCTGAACACTTGACTAGCATGTGCAAGGGCCTGGGGTCCACCCCCAGCATCAAACAAACAAACAAACAAATAAATAAAATATGAGCAGTGAGGGAGGGAACCCCCTTTCTTGCCAAAATAGTTCTCAAAGTTTTCTGGCTTTATTTTCCTTCTGTCCAGGCTCAAATCGCCGGGAGACAAAGGCTGGGCCCAGGCTGGGCTTAAACTTGGGATCCTCCTGCCTCAGCCTTTCCAGCATGCTGAGATCACAGGTCTGTTACCTGTTTTTCATCTTTCCCTGGTGACACCGCACCTCAGGGACCATGGACAGCACCTTGCCTGCTACCTTGGCTGGGAGCAAGTGCCGATGAATGATTTTCCTACATCACCTGCCTTGCCCACAGGCCACTTCTTTATGCTTTGCATATGGAATGTGCTTAATGGGCATCCAGTGTTGGCCCAGCCGCTCCTCCTGCCCCCACGCCCCCATGACCATGGAATGACACCGGGGCCACAGGTGTGAGGAGCCTTTATTGATTCGCCCTGCCCCGAGGTACGGAAGCCCGTGGCTCCGCCCGCCTTGCCCCCCACAAATAGGATCAACTTACAAGTCCCTGGCCAGGCCCTGTGAAACCAAACCCTGTTTCCAAGACCCCATCTCTGCCTGCCAGGGAAATTAGGTCAGCTACGGCGTCTGGGGGATCCAGGCTGGGAGGGACGGCGGGAGGTGCTGTGACGTCACGGCTGGTGTGGGAGGGACCTCGGCTCCCCTGGTGTAGGGGAGGGTCGTGTCCCCTGATAGGGGGGCTCAGGGCTGTGGTTGCTCAGGAGGGTCCCCCTGGGGTCGAGGCTAGCAGTGACAGACACAGGTGGACGGGTGGAATTCTAGGGGCCCAGCTTCGGCTTGGGGGAAAGGGGTGGCTTCTGGGGCACAGGGGGAGCCTCTAGCTGGTGGGCCAGGAGGAAGGCTGAGGAGTCTCGTAGGGTCCCCCAGCTGAACTGGGCTCCAGGTACCCAATCAGGAGGCCTGGGCCAAGGCCCCGGAGCTTTGCTGACAGCTGGAGTTGGGGCCTTAGGGGGTAGGCCTGGGGACTGGGTTGGGGCAGGGGAATTAGGGTGGTTTCTAGGGTCAGGGGTCTGTGGACAGAGCCCAATTCCAGAGCTGAGCTGGATTCTTGAGCTGGACTGTGTTCCAGGAACAGGCTGGGTTCTAGACTTCGGGTGAGTTCTAGAGCTAGGCTGGAATCTTGAGCTGGCCTGGGTTTCAGAGCTGAGCCAGGTGCCAGAGCTGGTCTGGTCTGTAGAGTTAACATGGGCTCCAGAGCTAGGCTGGCTTTTGGAGCTGAACTGAATCCTGGGACCGAACTGGGTTCTAGAGCATGGCTGGGTTCCAGAGCTGGGCAGAGTCTCTGAGCTGAGCTGGGTCTCAGAGCTGGACTGCATTCTGGAACTAAGGTGGGCTCCAGAGCTGGGCTGAATTCTTGCACTGGGCTGAATTCTTGAACTGGCCTGGGGCCCAGGGCTGAGCTGGGTTCCAGCACTCAGCAGGGTTCTGGAGCTGAGTTGGGGTCCAGAAGCAGCCTGGGTTCTAGAACTCAAGGAAGAACTGGAGTGAATTCTTGAACTCTTCTGAGTTCCTGGGCTGGACTGGGCTCTAGATCTGATCTGCGTCCCTGAGTCCAGCTGAAAAGCTGAGCTGGCTGAGGTTGTGTTCTGGAGCTGGTATCTAGAACGTGGAAGGGTTTGGGAGCCAAGTTGAGTGTTAGAGGTTGCTTGGGCTCCTGGGAAGTCCTGGGTCCTGGAGCTGAAGTCTGTGGCTGTGCTGCTGGTCTGTGTCCCAGGACCAGAGTAGATTCCAGAGTGTAGCTGGATTCTGGAGCTCAGCTGAGTGTCAGACGCTGACTGCGTTTGGAAGCTGGCTGGCTTTTCAGAAACAATCTGTGCTCCAAAGCTGAACTCAGCCCTGGAGCTGGGTGGGATGCCTGGGCTGCACTGAGCTCTGGAGCTTGGCCAGGCCTTGAAGTCGGTCTGGGTCCCAGAGTTGATCTGAATTCTGGAGTTGGTGTGTGTTCTGCAGGGAGCGGGGATCTTGGTGCCAGACCGAGTTCTGGAGCTAGGCCTTCCTTCAGGGATGGATGGTGTTCCAGAGCCAGGCTGAATTCCAGAGCTGGGCCTGGTGGTGCTAGTAGGCTGGGCTCTAGACCTGGGCTCTATCTCAGAGCTGGACTCGTCACTGGAACTGCACAGGGACGCAGAATAGGGGTAGGTAGTTGGGTGTGAGTGGGTTTTAGAGCAGGGTTGAGGTTTGTATCGGGACTGCACAGCAGTGTGGAGCTGGCTCCCTGAGCTGGCCTGAGTGTCTGGGTCAGTGTGGGCCACAGAGGCATCTTCAGTTCCAGAATCAGGTTGAGTTTTCTGGCTGGACATGGTCTCAGAACTGGACTGTGTACTGGAGCTGGGATCAGTCTCTGAACTGGATTGCATCTTGACACTTATCTGGGTTCCAGAACATGACTTGACAGCAGGGCTCGGCAGGATTCTAGAGATGATCTTAGTCTCAGGGCTGAGCTGGGCTCTGGAGCTGGTTTTGGTCTCAGGGCTGAGCTGGGCTCCGGAGCTGGTCCGGGTCTCAGGGCTGAGCTGAGCTCCGGAGCTGGGCTTCGTCTCAGGGCTGAGCTGGGCTCTGGAGCTGGTTTTGGTCTCAGGGCTGAGCTGGGCTCTGGAGCTGGGCTTCGTCTCAGGGCTGAGCTGGGCTCTAGAGCTGGTTTTGGTCTCAGGGCTGAGCTGAGCTCCGGAGCTGGGCTTCGTCTCAGGGCTGAGCTGGGCTCTAGAGCTGGTTTTGATCTCAGGGCTGAGCTGGGCTCCGGAGCTGGGCTGGGTCTCAGGGCTGAGTTTCCTCTTGAAGCCTGGCTGGGATCTGGAGCCCGGCTTGATCTCAGAGCCTGGCTGGCACCTGGAGGTGGGCTCTATCTCAGAGCGGGCCTGGGCTCTGGAGCAGGGCTTGGCCTCAGCTCTTGGCTCGCTCTCAAAGCAGGGCTGCAGTCTAGAGGAGCGGGGTGGGATTTCCGAACTGGGCTGGCTTTTGGAGGCGAACCTGGCCTGGGAGCTTGGCTGGGGCCGGGTACTGGAGCAGGGCTGGGGTGGGGGGCCAGACTCCGGGCTGGGGCTCCGCTGGCTACCCGAGCACACTAGCCACAGGCCTCCCTGGCTTCGCCGATGGCGGCCCACACCTCCACCACAAACTCGTCCGGGAAGGCAAACTCTCCTAAGACGGAGTCTAAACAACGCGCGAACTCCTGGACGCTGGCTGTCTTCTTGGACGTCTCCACCATGGTGGATGCTGAGGGACGGGCGGGGGAGGTGGGTGAGGGCCCCTGGGGCCCCACTCCCCTGGGACCCCGGCCTCCTCCCGCTGCCTCCCCTGGGGACCCCTGGCTTACCCTGGCCCCTTACCCAGCTCGGGGTCTCGGATGCCCATGTAGCTCTCCAGCAGGTCGTCCACCTTCTGGGACGCCTCCTCCTCAAACTCGCCGGGCTGGGCGCAGCAGGGAGAGGAGGGTGAGGGGCTCCAACCCCTGCAGCCACCCTCCCCACACGCCAGGGAACAGCACATGCTCCAGGGCCAACATTACACCAGCCTCCCACCAGGGCTCCCTTCCCAGGTAGGGAAACAGGCTCTGAGCAAAGGATCGTTTTTATTTGTGGCACAGGGGGTGGAAACCAGGGTCTCAATACTGAACTCCATTCCCAGCTCTTTTTTGTTTTTTCTTTCGAGACAGAGTCTCACTAAGTTGACTAGTTGCCTAGGTTAAGTTTGCATTTTCGATCCTCCTGCCTCAGCCTCCCAGAGTGCTGGGATGACAGGTGTGCACCACCGTGCCTGGCCAAGGAGAGGTTCGTAGCCAAGGCCATGCAGAGTCCCCAGCAAAGCTGTAGGAGAGAGAGGACCTAGGGACCCCCTCCTGTCACTCACCACTTCCTCCACAGTGGCGGCACCTCCAGAACGCAGCCTCAGGGTCTCTCTCCCGGTGGTCACTTTGGCTTCCACGGGACACTTGCTGCCCCGGCTCCGCTGGCCAATCATATCTGGCGGGGACAGAGACGGGGTAGAGTGATACGTTCTGGATGTGAAAACTCAGTTCTGAAAACACTGGGAAGACACAAGCTGAACCTTTCAGAATCCACCCGTGGGTGATTGTTTTTCTCAGTGCTGGAGACTAAACTCAGGGCCTTCACACTGAGCTCCATCTTCAGCCCCCACCCCTTTTTTTTTTGAAACAGGGTCTTGCTAAGGTGCTAAATTGTCCAGGCAGGACTCAAACTTGCCATCCAGCTGCCTCAGTCACCCAGAGTGCTGGGATGATGGGCGTGCACCACCACACCCAGCTCACTGGAGACAAACCTCCATCCTGCTTTTAAAATGGCTCTAGACAGGGCCGGGGATCTAGCTAGGTGGTGCGGTGCCTGCTTGGCAAGCACAAGATCCAGAGTTCAATTCCTGGTACAAAAAAAAAAAAAAAAAAAAAAAAAAAAAAGTGTTCTAGATACATGGCCATAAGACCTTACTTGTGTCTGGAGAGTCCAGCCAGAAAGGGCCCTGCTGCAGCCCTCATCTTTCCTAACTTTTATGCTGGCTCTCAAAGTTCATGGCCATGACACAGGGCAGATCTAGAACCCCAGGCTACCCAATCTACTGGGGCCTCCCTCCAGGGGAATTCCAGAACCTCCTGCTCTAGAACAGTCCTGCCTGAGGGCCCGTAATGAGAAAAGGAAATGTGCCTCATGAAATTCAGCACACTATTTCCTGTGCTGGCAAAATCTTGGTGTAAAACAATCACGTATCCAGGTGTGGTGGCGCACGTCCTGAGGCAGGACCTTTGCCGTGAGTTTTGAGGCCAGCCTGGGCTACATAGAGAGACCTGGTCTCAACAAAACAAAACCACAGAACCTCCCCCAGGCAACAGAGTGGACCTGGGCACTTCCTGTCCTGTCCCTTCTGCACTGGTCACCCTCCGTCCCTCCCCCACAAATGTCCCTAACAACATAAATCCCCCCCTTCTGTTCCAGAACCTCCATTTCTAACACCCTCCACTGTCCCAAGAGCCCACTGTCCCGCCCGCATCCCCACCTGCCGGTCCCAGGTTCCTAGTGGCCTCACCAAAGGCTCTCTTGGGCTGAACCAGGCGCAAGGTGAAGGGCTGGGACTTTGGCAGCTCCCGGAGCATCTTGGCCACCTCGTAGTGGCGGCAGCCGACGATGGAGTGGTCATTGATGGCCTCGATGCTGTCCCCCACGCTCACGGTCTCGATGCGATTGATGATGCTGCCTTCCTTGATCCTCTGCGGGGACCCAACTCAGC